AAAGAAAGAAAGAAAGAAAGAAAGAAAGAAAGAGAAAAAGACTAGCAAGATGACTCAGTGAATAAAGGCACTTGTTGCCAAACCTGTTGGAAGTTATGGGGATTTTGTTAAATCTGTAGATTGCTTTTGGTAAAATGGTCATTTTTCCTATGTTAATCCTACCACCTTTTGAGCATTGGGGATCTTTCCATCTTCTGTTATCATCTTTAATTTCTTCAAACATTTGAAGCTCCTGTCACACAGGTCTTTCTCTTGCCTGGATATGGTCACCCCAAGATATTTTGTATTATTTGTGAAGAGTGTTGTTTCATGATTTCTTTCTCAGTTCCTTTTTTGTTTATAGGAAGGCTACTGTTTGTTTGTTTGTTTGTTTTTTCTTTTTTAGTTAATCTTGTATCCAGCTACTTCACTGAAAGTGTTTATCAGCTGTCAGAGTTCCCTGGTATACTATCACACTATTCATCTGAAAAAGTGATACTTTTCTTTCCAATTTGTATTACCTTTATCAACTTTACTTGTCTTTTTGCTCTAGCTAGATCTTCAAGTACTATTTTGAACAGGTATGTAGAAAGTAGACAGCCTTGTCTTGTCTCTGATGTTGGTGGAACTGCCTTGAGTTTTTCCCTATTTAATTTGATGTTGGCTCTAGGCTGTATATATTGCTCTCTTATGTTTACATTGTCCCTTGTACCCCTTATCCCCCCCAAGACTTTTGTCATGAAGGGCTATTGGATTTTGTCAAAGGCTTTTTCAGTGTCTAAAGACATGATCATGTGGGTTTTTTTTTTCCTTTCAGTTTGTTTATAGGATGGATTACATTGATGGATATTTGTATGTTGGAACATCCCTGTATCTCTGGGATGAAGCCTACTTGATCATGGTGGATGATATTTTTGATGCTCTTGAGTTTGGTTTGCAAGTATTTTGTTGAGTATTTTTGCATCAATATTCATGAGGGAAACTGGTAATTATACTTGTTGACTCTTTGTATTGTTTCGGTATCAGGGGTGACTGTGTCCTCACAAAATGAATTGGACAATGTTCCTTCTGTTTCTATTTTGTGGAGTAATTTGAGAAGTATTGGTATTAACTCTTCTTTGAAAGTCTGGTAGAATTCTGCACTAAAACTATCTGGCCCTGGGCTGCTTTTTTATTTTTCATTTTTTGAGATTTTGATGACTGCTTTTACTTCATTAGGGTTATAGGTCTATTTAGATTATCTGATCTTGATTTAACTTTGGTAAGGGGTACCTGTCAAGAAAATGGTTTATTTATTTTCCAATGTTGTGGAATATAGGTTTTTGAAGTAACACCTAATGATACTTTGGATTTCCTCTATGTCTGTTATGTCCCCCTTTTTGTTTCAGATTTTATTTGGATAATCTCTCTCTGCCTTTTAGTTAGTTAAGGGTTTGTCTATTTTGTTGAGTTTTCTAAAACAAAAAACAAAACAAAACAAAAAAACTCAACTCTTTGTTTCATTTGTATTGTTCTCTGTTTCAAAATTTATTTCAGCCCTGAGTTTATTTCTTGTCATCTAATCCTGTTGGGTGTGTTTGCTTCTTTTTGTTCTAGAGCTTTCAGGTGTGCTTTTAAATTGGTAGTATGAGATCCCTCTAATTTCTTTATGTAAGCACTTAGTGTAAGCACTTAGCACGCTTTGTGTCCCATAAATCTGAGTATGTTGTGCCGTCATCTTCATTGAATTCTAGAAAGTCTTTAATTTCTCTTTTTATTTCTGCCTTGACTCAGTAGTCATTCAGTAGAGTTGTTCAGTTTCCATGAATATATAGGCTTTCTGTTGTTTCTGTTTTTTAAATCCAGCTTTAATCTAGTCTGATAGGATACAGAGAGTTATTTCAATTTTCTTGTATCTGTTGTGACTTGCTTTGTGACAAAAGTATGTGGTCAGTTTCGGAGACAGTTCAGTGAAGTGTCGAGAAGAACATATATTCTTTTATGTTTGGGTGAATTATTCTGTAGATATCTATTAGGTCCATTTGAGTCATACTAACGTCTGATAATAAAATTATTTTTAGTGTTTGTCTGGATGACCTATCATTGGTGAGAGTGGAGTATTGAAGTCTTGTACTAGTAATGTGTGGTTCAATGTATGATTTAAGCTTTAGTAATGTTTCTTTTACTAATTGAGTACCCTTGCATTTGGGGCATAGATAGTCAAAATTAAGATGTCATCCTGGTGGATTTTTCTTTTGATGATTAGAAAGTGTCCTCCATCTCTTTTAATTTTGTTTAGAAGTTTATTTTGTGAGATATTAGAATGACTATACCAGCTTCTTGGGTCCATTTGCTTGTATATTTTTTTTCCCAAACATTTACTCTGAGGTACTGTCTATATTTTGATATCAAGGTGTGTTTCTTGTATGCAGCAGAATGGATGCTGTTTTCACACTCATTCTATTAGCCTTTGTCACTTTATTAGGGAATTGAGTCCACGGATGTTGATATTATTGATCAGTGATTGTTAATTTGTTATTATTATGTTGTTGTTGGTGGTGGTGGTGTGTGTATGTGTGCTTCCTTTCTTTTGGTTTTGCTGGTGTAAAATTACTTATTTCCTATGCTTTCATGGGTGTAGTTAGCCTGTGCAGTAGAGTTTTCCTTCTAGTACCTTCAATAAGGCTGGATATATAGATATTTTAAAATTTTGAATATCTTGTTTTCTCCATCTATGATGATTAAAAGTTTTCCTGGGTGTAGTAGTCTGGGCTGCCATCTGTGGTATCTTAGAGTCTGCAAGGTATATGCCCAGGTCTTTTTTTTTGAGTCTCCATTGAGAAGTCGGGTGTAATTCTAATAGGCCTGCCTTCATATGTTACTTGGTCTATTCCCCTTGCAGCTTTCAGTATTTTTGTTCTGTATATTTGGTGTTTTGATTAATTATGTGCTGAGGGGACTTTCTTGTCTGGCCCAACTGACTTGGTGCTCTGTAAGCTTCTTTTACCTTTTTAGGCATGTCCTTCTTTAGATTAGAAAAATTTTCTTCTATGATTTTGTTAAAACATTTTCTGTGTTTTTGAACTTGGATTCTTCTTCTTCTATTCCTATTATTCTTAGGTTTGGTCTTTTCATAGTGTCCCAGATTTCCTGATGTTTTGTGTCAGGAATTTTTTAGATTTAACATTTTCTTTGATCAATGTATCAATTTCTTCTATGATCGCTCCTATACTTGAGATTCTTCCTTCCATCTCTTGTATTCTGTTGGTGGTACTTGCATCTGTAGTCTCTGTTTGCTTACCTAATTTTCCATCTCCAGGATTCTCTTAGTTTGTGCTTTCTTTATTGTTTCTTTTTCCATTTTCAGATCTTGAATAGTTTTATTTCCTTTACCTGTTTCCCCCCCCCCCCCCCCTTAGGCTTTCTTTAAGGATTTTATATATTTCCTTCCATTTTCTGGATTTCTTCAAGGGATTTTATTCATTTTCTTTTTAAGGACTTCTATTATCTTCATAGTTTTTTAATGTCTCTTTTTATGCTTCTGCTGTATTGTAATATTCCAGGGTTTCTGCAGTAAAATAGCTGGGCCCTGGTGGTTTCATATTGGCCTGGCTGTTGTTGTGTACTTACACTTGCATCTAGGCCCATGTGAAGACTTTGTATTCTAAGGCAAGAAACATACCAGCTCTCTTCTGATGGGTGAGTTTGGAATAAGGAACTGAGTGTCTCTAGCTCTGCATCCTGCAGGCTCCACCCACAGCAGGTGGTGAGACCACAGATGTGCTTTAACCCCCAGCTCAGATCAAAGTGATACATTCAGTATCAAGTATTTGGCACCTGCATGATCAAACTGTTCTAATTCAAAAAACAGGAAGAGGCTCCAGCATACACTGAGCCTCACCACCAGGCCTTGGCCCCAAATCTGTGATCTGACAGGTTCTACCTTTCTCCCGTTTACTATGCTACAGAAATGTTGTTTCTGGAAATACCCAGTTCATTCCTGCATGTCTCCAATTATGGGAAAATGCATGCATCCACTCATGCCACAGCACATGTGTGGAGATCAGAGGACAATTTACAGGTGTCAGTTCTATGTTTACCATCAGGATGGAACTCAGATTATCAGCCTTGGCAGAAAGCAGCTTCACTAACTAAGCCATCCCACCAGGAGCTCATTTTGTTTTTTTGGTGCTGAGGGCAGAATCTTGTGCATTCAAGGGAAGGGTTATGCCACTGATCCATACCCTGGAACCCAATCTCAAGAGTCTTGGCCTTTCCTGTCACCTCATAGCTGTGCTCTTATGTCTCTTCACCTTTCTGTGGAGGCCCGCCCTGCCATCCCTACCAAGTGTCTGTATCCCATGACAAAAATCCTGACTCACTGTCTGAGAGGCTCTGAAATGATTTCAAGGATGTGCTTTTGTTTGAGAGTCTCGATCTCACTCCACTATAGCCCACGCTGAACTCAAACTTGAAACTCCTTAGCCTCCTGAGTAATGAACAGGCTTGTGCCATGTCTGACTCATGGATGTATCTACCTCTTTAGTCCCTTGCCATCTACACATGGAGCTGCAAGGTCTTCCCTTTGTTCACTGTGCAGCCCATTACCTGGGAAGGGCTGGTAATAGAGCATTTGTCTGGCATGCTCAAAGCCTTGGGTTCCACCCTTAGCATCCCATTAATAAGTAGTGGTGTACACCTAAAATCTTAGCACTTGGGAGGTGGAGGCAGGATAATTAAGAGTTGAAAGTCATCCTTAGCTACAAACAGATTTCAAGGTTATTAATGAGTTCCTGTCTAAAAAATATTAGCCTGGTAAGATGGCTCAATGGTTACAGGCTCTTGTCACCAAGCCTGAAGACTTAAGTTTGATTCCCAGGACCCACAGGTTAAGAGAGAACCGACTCTCACAAGTTGTCTTCTAGCCTCCACACATGTGCTGTAGCATACACACACAAAAGCACTAAATAAGATAGATAAAACTGTCTTGTGAATAGTAGGTGCTAGGGAGGTATGATCCTTGTTAAATAAATGGAACAAACTTTGAAAAACATTTTTTCTTTAATAGTAAAATATTATATGCTGTAGAAAACTTGAAAAAGGCAGTATATAAAATACAATTGAGAAACTTTTAGAACACTAGGACAATTCAACAGCATGCCCCGACCTGTGTCTCCAAAGCATGAGGCAGACTACCAAGCAGATCTTAGAGCCCTTGCTCCCATTCACTTGTACCTGACCATTCCTGAAAATGATCCCTCTATCAGGGTCTTCTGGGATCTGTTAGAGATTAAGGCTTCCTGGGGCTCCTATGTGATTCAGTAGCACAGCAGTGCTTGCCTAATTGATCCCCAGGAACTGGAAAAAAGGGTGGGGGGGGATTACAAATGAATCATGAGGTAGCTATGATGCCTATTCCTAACCATGTGAATTGGGCCTCCCAGAGGCTGGATGACAAGTCTGAGGTCACTCTAATTACAGATTAACCCCAGTTCTGGAGGTCCCAAGGTCTTGGTTTCCTTTCCTTGTGACCTCTAGTTCCCTCAAGCCTAATTAATTTCCATGTTTCAGTTTGGTGCTTAGAAGGTCAACTTTGAAATCTAGGACAGGTCCCAGGGATGGATGGGTGATGCCTTCACATCCACCAATCCATGGATTCTTTGGGACAAGCCCTGACAATAACCAGGCAGTTGGGCAGGCCCTTACATAGAACCTTCTCTGCCTCCTGGCCCTCCCAACCAAGCCCTTGCACCTCAAGCACTCTAAGCTTAGGCATGGTGAGGCAGGAGGACACAATCTGAGCAGGTGTGGGCATTTCTGGGGTGATGAGGGGACCCTGGAAGCACAAGCTCTCCAGGGCAGGCATTCCCTCCAGGAAAACCAGACCCTGGGCTGAGAGGCCCCCAACGGTCAGCCGAATCTTGCGCACATCTCGGAGGTTTCGGCTGATAGCCAGCAGGGTGCTGTCAGCTGACAGGGTGCAGCCCAGCACCTCTAGCCTTTTCAGGTAACTGAGCTCCTGCAGGCTGGCATCCAGCCCGGTCTCAGTGACCCGGTAGGTGCCACCCAGCACCAGTGAGCGCAGGGCTCTGAAGCGGGTAAGGCCCTGCAGGTGCTCGTCACGGAAGGCTGGCACTCGATCCAGCACGATGCACTCCAGCAGGGGCAGCACCGTGGGGTCCACCTCCTTCTGCAACCAGGCCATTGAGATCTCGCAGCTGTGCAGCTCCAGGGTTCTCAGCGTGGCAGGCAGGCTGGTGATAGGCACCATGCTCAGATCAGCCACGTGCAGGCAGAGACGCTTCAGGTTGGGGCACTTCTGGCCCAAGGCCCGCATCAAGGCGGGGGACAGCTGTGGGGCATGAGAGCCAGAGAACAGGTAGCCGCCCATGCGCAGTGAGTGGAGCCGGGACGCCATGTATCGGCGCAGGAGGTGCCACATGACTTTCGGCCGCATCTGTAAAAGCCAGAGATTAGGGTGACTGGGTGAGAAGTATGGCGTTCCCAGAGGATCCACCTGGCTGGTAACAGGCGTGCCCGAGACCTGAGTTCTAGTCTCTCCAGGAGTCTGCTCTTCTGCCAGCTTCCTTTCCTAAAGCAAGGCAATTTCTTTTGTTGGCTATCAAGAGTCATGCACTTAATACCGGCTAGTATACAGGGGAGGTTGAGGCACGAGGCATTCTAGTCAGCCTCAGCCTGTCTAGTCAATCAGAAAGCTCCAAGTTCAGTGGAATACCCTGTCACAAAAACAAACAAACAAGGCAGAGTCCAAGGTTTTGGTGCACACCTTTAATCCCAGCAGGGCCCGGGGCAGACAGGTGACAACAACAGACATAAGGAAGAGGATCTCTCTAAATTCCAGGCCAGTCTCCACTACAAAGCAAGCTTAGGCTACATAATGAGATCCTGTCTCAAAGAAAACAAAACAAATATATTTACACATACATATATATGTAAAATAAGTGTAAGGGGCTGAGGACGACGCCCTTACACTGACCTCTGGCCTCCACATACTCTTGTATACACATGCATCTGTGCAAACACAAACATGTAGGTGCATGCACACAATATAAACTGTGATCAACAAAACGATACAGTACATTTCATTATATCTACATTTTACCCAAAAAGAAAAAAATGCTGGATAGAACAAGTGATTCATTGCTGGGGTTGTGATACAATCCAGGATCCTGCCATGAACTCAGCTATACCCTAGCGCAGAGCATACTTGGTTTTGGTGGTTCTGGATAATGAACCCAGGGCTCCACACAGGCCAGGAAACCACTCTATCACTGAGTCACAGTTCCAGGCCTTTCTGAATTTGTATTTCAAGACAGGTCCTAGCTAAATTGCCCAGGCCGGCCTTGAATTTATGATCTTCCTCCCTTAGCCTCTGTAGTAACTGGGATTACAGGCCTATAACAGGCCCAGCCTTATGCTATAAATATTGTTGACCACTTTCTGACAGAGAAATTAATTATTTTTAACAATTATTTTGTGTAGTTGCTGGAGAAATGGCTCATCCTTTTGAAAGGTGTCTTGATTTCTGACCTTTTCTATTCTGTTACTATAAATTTGTGATGGACGGGTAGTTATGGCATAACTCCCAGCACTTGGGAGGCAGGGGGAGCACTTCAGTTCAAGGCCAGCCTAGTCTACAGATTAGAGTTTCATGTAACTGTTACATTTAAAGATGTATTTGAGGAAGCTGAACTCTGTATTCTCAGTACATGGTCACTCATATTTAGCTCAATAATAAACTGTTATTCACTCTGAGGTAACATATTTTTGCATTGACAGACTGTCTCAAAAAACTGAAAAACAGAGGCTGGGGATGGGGCTGTGTTAGTAAAGTGCTTGCCTCGCAAATGCAAAACAGCACTCAGGAGATTGAGATTGGTTAGTTGGAAACCAGGACATGGCTCAGTCTGTTAAGTGCTTTCCTAGCATTCAAAACGCATGAATTCCATTCCTAGCATCACAGAAACCAGGCATTCGGGCCTACGCTAGTAATCCCAAAATTTAGAAGGTTAAGGTGGATTAGAAATTCAGGGTATCCTCAGCTTCATAGAAAGCTGGAAGCCAGTCTGGGCTAGAGACCCTTTCTCAAACAAAACAACTTCCCCTCCCCCCAAAGAAAGAAACAAACAAACAAACAAACAAAAAAATTCCAGGAAAATAAAAGCCTCAAGAAACTATCAAACACAATTAAGTAAAAGAAGAAACACACACACTAGAAAACAAAGCAAACCAAGCAAGGAGGGCGGCTCTTCTCGCACGGCCCCCAGGTCCCGCATACCGTGTAGAGGGTCAGGTCGACGTGTCGCCACAGCCACCGGTCATCCACTAGCCTCTTCCAGCGGTGACAGACCCTGGAGGAGTGGACCGGCCGTTAGAACGACCCCGGGCCGCTGGGACCGGATTCGCATCTCCTGCGGAGCCCCTGCCCTGCTCTGTCCCCCGAGGAGCGGGGCCGCACCTGGAGATGCGGATCCGGTCCCGGACCGGGAGGTATGAGAAGATCTCCAAGAGCACCAAGTCTGGGAGGTCAAACAGCGTCGCCATGGTCCTGCCGTCCCGCGCTTCCGTTTCCGGCGGCGACCGCGCTCCCCTGAGGGCGCTGAGGTGGCCGGACTGGCCAAACCCGCGCGACTTTCGGAGGCCTGCCGAGGATCCCTACTGTCCTAGGAAAGTGCCTGAGGCGCCGGGCCTGCGCTGGCCCGGCCGGACGACCCTGAGGCCCGGGGCTGACTAGGCCAGAGGGCCTTGGCAGCGAGTGTAACTGGAAGCGCGCAAACCCAGAAGGTATGGCTTGGGTGAGGAGGAGCCACAAGGCGTGGCCAGAGCCAGAAGGGAAGACGAACGGCAAACCTAAAGACGTTCCAGCACGAAGCCAGGAACGTCTCAGGGGCGTAGCCATGAGGTGGAGCTAAGTCTAAGCAGCAAACCCAGAGGGGACCAGCTGGCAACCCAGAAGCCGCGCTCTGACGGGGAGGGGGCTCAGGGCGTGGCCAGAGCCGGGACACGTGGCGAGCCAAGGCAAGCAGGCAAGGTTCCGAACGGGCGAGGAAAGCCGCACGCCTAGAGGGCGTGGCTCGAGCGGGCGGGGAGTGGTCCTGGGCGTGGCCAGGACCAGGGGCGAGGCTGAGGAAAGGCAGCGCACTCCAAAGGCCGGCCTTTGGGGGGAGAGGGAGAGAGCCTGAAACAAGATGGAGCGACAGAGGAGAGGGGGTATGGAGAGCGAGGCCGAAGTACTAGCTGCATTTTGCCTGAAAAAGAGCGACTGAGTGGAGGGGTGTAGCCAGGGGCAGAGGAGGAGATTGGAGGTTGTCAGCCACAATGGGAAGGCGTGATTTAAGATGGAAGAGGCCAGGGGCGCGTCCAGCTAAGGGACTAGCGAAATGCCCTGAAGGCTTAACTTGAGCTGAAAGAGCTTTTGGGACGATGCCAAGGCAGAGACCAGCCTGGGGCCGGACCCAGAAGGCATGACCTAAGCACGGGAAAGGTAACAGAGCAACAATCCCAAAAACCATGACTTGAGTGGGAAAGGGCTGAGGTGTGGCAAGAACCAAGTGAACTAGCTGGGACAGAAGACAAAATTTATAAAGCCTAGTTTAGGCGGAACAAGGTCCGATATAGGCGATGGGATCACGTTTGGAATGGGTTGAACGACGAAGGGAAAGGCTGGTGATCTTAGGTCTGGAAGGGTGGTTAAGAGCAGGGATGGAGCCCTAAATAAAAGCATCGCTGGGCTGAAAGTGCAGTTCAAGGAGAGCCTTTGGCTGCTACCATGCCCTAGATTCGACCTCCAACACCAACACAAACAAAAACTCAAACGAAAAACGCCACTTTTCTGGGACTTGAGCGCAAGATAAGGCCTCCGGCTCACTCTCCAGTATGGGGGTTGGGTAGCGCCTGGGAAGTCTTTTCGGAACGTAAAGCATTTGGGAGAGATTGGAACAGATCTAAGCGCTAAGGACGAGGAGCAGAACTTCATTCCAGACGGAAAGGTGTGACTGGGGTGGGAGTGTCGGACAGCAGAACAGCCAAGCCAGGGAGGCGTGGCTACAAGCCGAAATTGAAAGCAGAAGTAACGCGTTTTGCTGCCTACGCATAAGGATTAAATTTTGTACAAGTGGTATTAGGTAAGCACAGGCCCTGAGTGGATTTTCTTTTTCTTTTTTGAAACCGTCTCCTACAAAGTCCTGTCCCAGAATTCACTATGTAGACCAGGTTGGCCTCTAACACACAGGCCTATAATACCAGCAACTTCCGAGGCTGGACACGAGGATCACAAATTCGAGGTTAGCCTGGTCTATATACCGACACACTATCTCAGAAAAAAAGTCAAGCTAATTAAGAAAATGAGTCAGTAAATACTTGCCTTATTGAGAGTCCTGTCTGCTAGGAAGGAATCGTTCAATAGAGGCGGAAACTAGATGAATTTAAGATGGGATTCCCATCAGTTCTTGCAATTATGTAATCTGAAACAAGGTGTTCCTTGAAAATAAAATAAAATATTCCAAAGCAGAAGATCTTTCCCGGTATGCCAACATCTTCGCAGGCAGGACAGAGACACGCGGACTGGTGCACAACGTGACCTCCCGTCCAGGATCTGGCTTAGTTTTCACCAACTGGAATCGCACCCTGGGGTCTCGGAAACAGTCACTATGATCAGAGGGGAAAGGCAAGTGCAGGGTCCGAGGCTGAGCTTTGAATGAAAGCGGAGAGCCCGACAGCGACAGGACCTGCGTAACTCCAGTCTCGCTCATCCCTGCAGCCGGGATTCTGCGCTTGAAGGCTTGTCTAGCTTGGGAATGGCAGGTCACCGCCCTGAGTCTCTTCCACAACGGAGGAATCTCCAACACTGGTTCCAACGTCCGCTGTAAATACACTACTATGATCTGTTAGTCTCACAGTCTTCTTATCCAACCGCCGTTCATCAAGACTGGGCCACAGAATCGCAGATCTTCGCTAGCCCGGAACCCGGAAGCACCTAGGGGCGAGTGTTCCCGTTATGTCACTTCCGCTTCCTGCTTCGAGCTTAAATCCGGCCAGGGTTCAGCATTCGTGTAACAAGTTGTGTCGTCGGTAGGTTCCAGGAGATTACAGGTGAGAAAGCTAAACGGAGAGGCCCGGTGTCGCGGGAGGCTGCTGAGACTCGGGAGCCTAGGGGTTGCTGGAGGCAAAAAGGGCTGAATCCGGAGCTGGGTTTGAGGAGTTAAGGGGTGGAGACGCGGTTTTCTGGGGTCTCCACACTTGAGACGGAAGGCTGGGGCTGTAGGGGATTTGCGTTCGGTGTTCGGAGAGGTGTGAACAGAGAATCCAACCCAGGAAGGGACTTTGGAGGCCTAGGCGACCGCGGAAGTCCTGACTCTGCTGCCTTCCATCCCCTTCCATCTCCATCCCCACCCGGTGTAGCTCCAGCCACAATGATTGAGGTGGTTTGCAACGACCGTCTAGGAAAGAAAGTCCGCGTTAAGTGCAAGTATCCACAGAGGGGCAGTGGTCTCGGGGCAGATGAGGGTGTTGGATGAATTTTAGTTAAATGACGCAGATGGGAAGCCTAATACCTTTCTAGTGTACCTCTTCCTTCCATTTACCTTAACTCCTTCGTGCCCAGCACCGATGACACCATCGGGGACTTGAAGAAACTGATAGCGGCCCAAACTGGCACTCGTTGGAATAAGATCGTTCTTAAAAAGTGGTAAGTGCGCCGGGATTAGGCTAGAAGATTTTGGTTGGGGGAGCAACTCAAGTCAATCCCGATGAGGGTTCAGCTTGTTTTCAGGAAAAAAGCTCCCCCACCTCCCATCAGTTTCTCTGAAAGGTATCTATCCCGTAGGTACACGATTTTTAAGGACCATGTATCTCTGGGAGATTGTATCCTTTTCCGGACTGATGAAAAAAAAAAAAATCCACGTATTTATCTTGAGTTCTGGTTCTATACTGAAAACTGTACAGGAATGATTCAAGTGGATGTTTAACTTAGAATATTGCCTATTGTGACTACGGAGAAAATGGAAACTATGGAAATATTTTGTTGGTGAGGAGGGTAGTTAGTGAAATAGTTTAACTCAGTCAGAAGGATTTTGACATTCAGGTTCAAAATGAGCACCACCTAGGTGTTGGACAGGAGTTGCAGGTGGAGTGTGATTACAGTTGACAATCATTTTTTTGTTTTGTCTTGTTTAATTTGTGGGGGTGGAGGGTCAGGCTCTTTTGCCTGCAGTTATGTTTGTGTGTCACATGCATGCCTGCTGCTAGCAGAGACCAGAAGAAAGCCTCAGATTTCCTGGAAACACCATGTGAGTTTTGGAACTTAAACCCAGGTCCTCTGGAAGAACAGCTGTGAGCTGAGCTTCTTCAACTGCTGAGCTATCTCTTCAGCCTGAGTATGAACACTGAAGAAAATGCATTATTGTTGTGTGTGTGATGGGGTAGGGGACGCTTGGGGCTCGGGGTGTACACTAGGGTTTATAGTTCGTGTTCTCAGATTAAAGCAGCCATTCCAAAACTGCTTCCTTAGTCCAGGGTATTGAGCCACAGGACCCAGCTGTGAGTGCATGGAGGGTAAAGTCAGCCCTCAGTGAAAGTTCCTTAATGCTCTCCTGCAGATGAAATCCACGATGGGATGAACCTGGAGCTTTATTACCAGTAGAGGGGAATTCCTCCACCTTGCCCAACCTTGCTTTCCTCTCCCATGGCTCATTTAACACTGTTGTAGATGCTCATTTTTAACAATTCACATGAATAAAAACTTTGATGCTGCTTTGCTGCTGTCATACTTGTTTTGTTTTGAGACAGGGTTTCTCTGTGTAGCCTTGGCTATCCTGGAACTCACTCTATAGACCAGGCAGGCCTTGAACTCACAAAGATCCTCCTGCCTCTGCCTCCCGGGTGCTGGAATTAAAGGTTTGTGCCACCACTGCCCTACGCTGCTGTCATACTTGTATGAGAATTGTATCAGGGGAGAGCTGGTGTTAAGGTTCAGGGTACTGCACCTTTAAAGGAGCTCAAGATTGACTAGAGGCTGGGCCTGGTGCTACACATCTCACATCTCAGCACTCGGCAAATTTTTGTCACGAGAAGTCTCATGTAGACCAGGTTAGCCTTGAACTCACTGTGTAGTACCAGTGATTTTGAACTCCTTCTTCCAGTTACCAGGACTGAAAGAGGCCTCTACCACCATGCCTAATTCGGTAGGGTATTGCAGGATATTTGATCCCACTCTGAACCCCAAAATTATGAACTGTAAAACTCTTGTTTCTTTGGTGTAGTTGAGCCCTATCCCATACCATTAATCCAGGGACTTTCTGTTTGTTGTAAACTGGTTATTAAGGTGTGATTTACCCAGCCCTAGCACACACCTTTAATCCAAGAGCTTCCTGTACACAGAATTTAATAAAGTTAACCCTAGGTCAAGAGGCAGGGCAAGAATCCAGCTGACAGGGATTAAAGAGTAGAAGGGACTTTGAGTTGAGGGATATTTAAGACAGCTTGGAGAAGACAGAGCTAGCAAGCCTTGGTCTTCAAGGTTTTGTTTTTTGTTTTATTTTTTTGGCCTTTCGCTCCTGGGCTGTCAGCCGAGCTAGTGAGCCTTTTGGGTTTTTTCCATCTAGACCTGAGCTGAGAAGGAAGGTTAGCTGGTTACTTTCTCTGCCTCTCTGAGCTAGCAGGTTTTTACCCAGCATCTAGCTCCTGAGTCTTTATTGGTTAAGTAGAACCGGTGGGGATTTCCTACTTTTAAAAAAATAGTATGGTCTTTTCTACTTTAAAGAAATTGCTGGGAGCTGTGGCTGCCCACATATGCATTATCTTCATCTACCCTTCAAATGTGGCCAAGTTTGGGAAAGTAAAATTATCTTTGTCTCCTGTAGCCTTAGCTAAATACCAGAGGCTCAGTAATTTTTGGAGAATGGTGGGGGAGGGGTTGTTTGTTTTGTTTTTAGTGAGGAGATGGAGTGCTTACCCTTAAACATGAGGACTGGAGTTTGATCCCCAGAACCCATGCAAAAATGCTGGATGTGCAAGTGTACACTTTTAATCCCAGGCTTGGACAGGTAGAGACAGGAAGATCTCTGGGCTTGCTGTCTAGATTACTTGGTGAGCTTTAGGCCAATGCCTGTCTTAAAGGAGGTAGGTTGTGTTCCAACAAGACACACGTACTTGTAAAATAAATAAAGCTACTTTGGATGGCTAAGGTAGGAGAATTAAGTTTGAGACTAAGCAACAGACTTTATCTGAAAAGGTAGAAGGCATCTGGGGATGTAGCTGGTTGGTATTAAAATTGGTTTTATTGGATATTTTATGGTAGCAGTGAGAAAAGTAACACAGTGGGCTACATAGTCAGAGCCTGTTTTAAAGCACCTACCATATTGGGTTTTTCTAAAGAAACAACCTCTAGAAAGAATCTATATAGATATATACAGTTTAGAGTGGCTTATAGGCTGTGAGCCAGCTAGTCCAACATTGTCTTTCTTTCAGTGGAAAATCCCAAGAATCCAGTAGTTGTTCAGTACATGAGGCTATTTGTCTCAGCTGCTCTTCACAGTATATGCTGGAATTCCAAAGAAGTAGGCACTATTGCCAGTAAAAGAATGAACTCATTTGCTGCTTTTTAACTTCTTTAGTTCTTTATATATTCTGGATATTAGTCCTCTGTCAGATATAGGGTTGGTGAAGATCCTTTCCCAGTCTGTAGGCTGTTGTTTTGTTCTGATGACTGTCTTTTGCTTTACAGAAGCTTTTTAGTTTCATGAGGTCCCATTTATTGATTGTTGATCTTAGAGCCTGTGTTGGTGTTCTGTTCAGGAAGTTTTCTCCTGTTCCAATGAGTTCTAGGCTCTTCCCCACTTTTTCTTCTAACCAATCTAGTGTGTCTGGTTTTATGTTGAGGTATTTGAGCCACTTGGACTTTAGTTTTGTGCATGGTGATAATATGGATCTATTTTCATTTTTCTGCAAGTAGACATCCAGTTGGACCAGCACCATTTGTTGAAGATGTTGTCTTTTTTCCATTGAATGGTTTTGGCTTCTTTGTCAAAAATCAAGTATCCATAGGTTTGTAGAGGATAAACATACTAAAGTCTGTACACCCAAAGAAGTTAAACAAGAAAGAGGACCCGGGGTAAAACGATCTATCCTTACTTAGAAAGATAAATGGGATGTACGTTGGAAGTAGGAGAAAACGAAACAGGACAGGAGCCTACCATAGAGGGCCTCTGAAAGACTCTACCTAGCAGTGTATCAGAGCAGATGCTGAGACTCATAATCAAACCTTGGGCAGAGTGCAGGGAATCATATAAAAGAAGGGGGAGTTAGTAAGACCTGGAGAGAACAGGAGTTCCACAAGGACCAAATATATCTGGGCACAGGGGTCTTTTCTGAGACTGATTCTCCAACCAAGGACCATGTTTGGATATAACCTAGAACCCCTGCTCAGACGTAGCCCATAGCAGCTTAGTATCCAAGTGGGTTACCCTAGTAGGTGGAACAGGGACTGTCTCTGACATGAACTCAGTGGCTGGCTCTTTGACTTCCCCTGCTCCCCACCTCCCACCCCGAGGGAGGAACGGCCTTGCTGGGCCACAGAGGAGGACATTGCAGCCAGTCCTGAAGACACCTGATAAGCTATCTCCCCTTCCAGTGGACTTAGGGGCAGGGAGCAGATAAGGGAGGGAGAGTGGGATTGGGAGGGAATGAGAGAGGGGGCTACAGCTGGGATACAAGGTAAATAAACTAATTAATATAAAAAAATAAAGATAAAAAAATGAACTTGGCAGAGTGAGAGCAAGCAGGCAAAGAATAAGTGCTTCCTTTTTCCATGTCCTTTATGTAGACTTCCAGCAGAAGAGGTGAACCAGATTAAAGGTGAATTTTCTTGTTGGTGTTCTAAATGAAGAAAGACACTCAGCTTCATAGCAGCAGGATGGAACAGTCTCTGAGGCCTGAACCCCAAGCAGTCTTACAAA